ACATGAGAAAAAAATTGATTTCAAGTTTTCGAAAATGTGTATTTTTTAATGCATTTTTTGACCGTCAATTTACAAAATTTTCAAGTTTTCATAGATCTGTCGATCTTTGCTATTTTGAAGCTTTAACCTTTATAAATAAAGATGAAAATATATTTTAAGACTATCACAAAGATTTCCAATATTGAAACCACATTTCTCACTACTATTTGAAGGTAGGCTCTAATTTGATTGCTTAGAGCCTAGGGTCTATACAAGCCACACTCAAAACTAAATATTGTAATTTGGATAATAAAAAAATGCAGAGAGGGTTTAAAAGATTTTTATTTTAACTTGAAAGGCCTTTTTTGGAACTGGGAGTTTAATTGAAATTACAATTATAGAGAGGGGGTATATGTCTTTTCCCTTTTTTTGGTTATTTTGAGAAAAGTAGTAGTAGATCATTTTAAGATGGTATAAAGCTTATAGCTCTTAAAACATTTAACATGATTTGACATTTTCTCCTTTATCACAGTTTAGATATTTTTAACTTTATTTTTAAAATTTTTGATTTTTTTTTTTTTAAATTGCCCTACTTGAACTGCCAAAACCAAGTCAAATATGGATCTTGGACTTCAAGTTTAGCTCTCCCTTGCGTAGCTACTCTTATGGGATATGGTTAGTTAAGGGCACCAATGTTTAAATGGTCCTTCAAATTAAGGGGTTCTGGTACCAATCATGAAGGGGTGCTGTTGGCATACGGACGACTCCGTAGGTGTAGAGGTACGGTGCCTTTCAAAGTTTATCCTGGTATATAATTTTGATGTAAAATTTTATTAAGATTATCTCAAAATCTATTTTTATATTTAATTATAAAAGTTTACATTTAATAAATGGTTAAAATCAAGTAGATCTATAAACATATAAAAATCTTGAAAATGGACGGTGTAGATAATATGTTGTAAAATGCACTATTTATGAGACTTAAAATCTTTTTATTTTTCATAGTCATACATCTCGATGTCGAGATGATCAATCAAAGGCTTTTTCAACATTAAAACTACATTTTCCGATGGATTTTTGAGAAGCATTCATAGTTCTCATTATAAGGTAGCATCCTTATATAAGAAGAGACTGTCTAAGATTAAACCTGTTGGTTTATTCGAGTACCAGACAACACTTATGTGTAAACCATCTTGCCAATGTCTCGCATCACAGGTCTAAGTGCTACAAGACTTATGATGTCTTGAGACAAGACAATGTTTTTTTGGATAGCTTTATGGATTTAAGAATATGGGATTATATATAATGAGATCATTTACTTTTGATACAAGATGGTCACAATTCTTTATAACCATTTGACGCGAAATTTGATAGTTTTGTGTCACAAAGTTTGAAAAAAAATCTTTTGAAGTTTGAGCTTGATCAATAGAATAATTACAACCATCCAATTTCACATCCAATGGTCAAGATTAATGTGACCACCTTGTATCAAAGGTTGCAACCTTAAACAATCCAAATTAGCTGCACCTCCAAATTTATCATCGGAGGGCCTTATAATCCATTTTCATCTCTAGTTATGAATTTTTAAACTCCAAAAATGGTTTAAATCAAGTAGATCTATAAACACATGAAAATCTTGTAAATGAACGGTCTAGATAATGTGTTGCAAGATGCTTTATTTTTGAGACTCGAAATCTTTATTTTTACACATATTCATACATTTCAATGTTCCGATAATCAATTAGAGGATTTCCACCATCAAAACAACATTTTCACTTTTGAGGTGCACCTTAATTCTACCTTCTAATGTTGCGACCTTATATAAAA